AAAACAATGTGCATTATTGTAGTAATCCTGTTCTATTGTTTTTCATCGTACTGTATTATATTTAAGTGGAAAATTTTGTTCTTTTTCAGGAAATAAATTTATCTGGCAATGAAATAGGCCCAGCAACAATTGAAAGTATTGCAATCCAAATGAAATCTTTTCCGATAAAGCAGCTTATTTTACACACAAACAACCTGGGAAGCGCTTTTGGTGCGATCAAATCAAGATGGTCCGAATACGATTACATTGATTTGGGCAGCGAAAGGTAAGCGCCGAGGGCTCAAGGGATATTTCGTTCGGGTTTTCTTGTGTTCTGAGGGTTTTGCGATTTACGAGGCAGATATGACTGCTTGTGCTTTCTTTGATCATTCGTACTTTGCGTAACCGTTTCCTTTTTAAAAACCACTTAATTACTCATTTGGTATTTTATCCAGTCCTTGCAGTGATTCGTCTTAATAACTAGCAACTTCCTTGTCCTAATATATATTAGTATTTGTCTGATTCATACAAATCCATTTGTATTTAAACTTTCATATTTAAGTGTACATATATTTAAATATACCAGTTTCATCTCTTTTTAGCATCGTTCGAAGAAAGGACAATTAGCTAAAGTAGCAGTGGTGTGATGAGTTCAAAATTTAGCCAAAAAAAGCATTAGTTTAGGATTTGAAAATTATGTGGCTAACTGACTAACGTTTTTTTAACATTGGTTATTTTGATCAGTGTACGTTGTCTGATGATCAGCCTTATGGCGATCATGATAAATGAATGTGCTAGTGCTAAATCTGTATTAAAGTAACAGCCCCATTTCAGTGGCGACGAGGGATCGATCGACGATGTTGAGGCAGAAGATGAATTAGCGGAGCGATTTTCGGATGGACATCCATCCGGTGATGCAGGCTGCGAAAGCGATGATGAATACAACGGAAATTATGGTGACACCGACACTGGTGGTGATTTTTAGCAAATTAATTCAATGCTACTCTGCTAGCCATACGGCCACTCCTCTACGATTCCCCCCTTCTTTTCTGTGGCTTATTAGTACTGTTCTTGTCAGGAATTGAGAATACTTTTTGGTTTTTTTTTTTTTTTTTTTTTGCTGCAAGCTTTGTAAGAAGGAGCGGACATAATCTTTGCTAGCTGGTTGTTGCTATTTACATGTACGACAGTTTGAGCAACTCAGACTCACTGAATGAATTTGGAGGGATTTTTGGCTTCTGATTTTGAACTGACGAAAATTCACGTCTTTTTTCCTACTGAATGTACAGGAAGCCTGAATTTTTGTTACTTCGATTTCATTTTTCTGCTAAAAAATAGTTTTTGGTAGCCTGCTTAGATAGGGCACTCATGGCTCATGATTGGTGCCTTAGCAACTGGCTCGTGATTTTTTACTTAATTCAGTTTGCGGAATTAATACTAAATGTGTTGCAGGCGAAACATCGTTTGAAAGCAGTAACGGCAAAACAGTTCTTTCACCCAAATGTCAACAGTGGAACACCGCTGATGACGGTAAATTTGCTTTGCTCGCAGATTCTTCATTCTAAACACTACATGAATTGTAGCCCAAATGCATGAAAAATGCAGAGGAATGCAGTTCTAAGACCAATGAATGTATTATTGCCTATCCTGCTGCGTTTAAGATTCAGTGGCTTCAGTCACTAAGTTTAAAAATACTTTTTCACTTAATAACATGCTTTCTTGAGTGATATCTTCAGTGAACTCCTAGTTGATGAGGTATTTCATCGAGATCTGGTTGTGGCATCGCTTCAGACGAGATCGAGATGTGCAACACACACACACACACACACACACACACACATATGCATACAGGCACATACACACATGCATACAGACACATACACACACCAGTGACATTTCGAAATGGCTAAAGCTTTTGTCAAATGCTTCGAGTGGTAGAACTGATAAACGGATAATGGCCCAGGGATAAAT